GAGAAGTCCTATGTCAATCTTTTCCAATCTGATTTTATTTTTATAGGTAAAACTGAAAACCATTTTTGGGCTGCGCCGTCAAGTGTGGTTTGGATAAAAGCTGTGTGTCTATGTATCCAATTGTGATGAAGTGGCGTGTTTACTGGTTCAAGTCCTATATTTAAAATTAAATTTGCTGTGACTGCGTTTAAATTGTCTTCTACAGAATATTCAGGGTCTGTGCCTGTGAATACCATTTTTGGTTTATTTGATGTTTTTGATGATCCACCCATGAGGCATGGATTCATAGTCATTTGTAGTGTTTCTGGGGCATGTTGCATTTGAGAAAAGATTTAAATTGGCTTTTTGTTATTTCATGTTGATGAAATTAATATAGCAGTGGAATTTCGTTATGGATTTGAGTTGATTGGTATGATTGTGTGTTAACGGGGTTTTGTTGTTGAAAAATATTGTTGTAAGGTGTTGGATTGTTTCTAGGTTGTCGTATTTGTTGGTATCGTGCGTATGGTTCAAAAATATCTGGTTGGTCAATACTGTAAGAACGAGGTCTTTGGCTTGAATTAAATCGCTGATGATTTTGATTATAGTATTCTTCATCATCTGTTGGAAAATGATTTTGTGCATAATAATGAGGTTTATTTCTGGTATGGTATTTGTTTTTTTTTATTTTGTTGAAAAAGTGGGTACTTTCCACTTTGTTCTTGTGAGAATCACGGTTGATCATGAAAATTTACTGAATTTGAAGTCGTTTGTGGTATATTCTGACTTTGTGAAAAGAAGGAGTTTTGAGTATTCATCTTAGTTTTGTTGTTTTTGGTCCATGTACATAGTTGTCATTATGTTCTGCAATATTATTTCTATGTGATGTTTGTTGTTTGTATGATGGTTTTGTTACTGGTCGAAACGTTGGATAAGCCATTTGCGTATGATTGTTTGTTCTAGCGTTGGGTTTTTAATTTTTGGAGTTGTAAAATTGGGTTGAATTGGTGAAATGCTTCGTTGTGCTTCTGTTGTGGTTTTTGTTTCAACCACTTCTTCGCTTACAAAATGTGATGGAGTTGGTATATCTTGTTGTGTGAGAGTTCTTGTTCCATTTAAGTTATCCTTATTTATAATTGCAGAATTTGAACTATTATTTCCTGTTCTTTCAGGGAAGAAAGAATTATAGTTGAAAGGTGTTGCGTCAATTGTAAGTGGGTATACTCTAACATAATTTTTGTTAATAGAGATAGTGCTCATTGCCTGACTTGATATATCTGTTGGTATACTAATAAATGTTTCATGAGACCATTCAGGGTCCCAAACATAATCTGATTGTTCTGCTAGTACAGTTTCGTCTTCTGTATTTTGTGGTCTAAAATTTTTTCTTGCTTGTTCAATAAGATCAATATTGTGATTAAAATAATCGATTATAAACCATGCTAATATTTTTTGTAAATCGTGTCTAACATGTTGTGTTATTTCATTTTTTGGTAGATCTTCCCGGATTGCATTTAAAAATTTTGAAAACGTGTGTATTTCCTAACGTATAACTGTATGTCGAGATGTTTGAGTTGGTGAACCGCTTTGAGGTTCATTCAATTCTAATATAGATAAATAGCTATAGATAAGTGAAAATACATCATTTGTGAATATTGAGTTTGCTCTTATTGAGTTTTGATGTTGTATGCTTTTTATCTATTGTGTGAAAATTTTTGAAAGTTCATTATCTACATCATCAATTTGAATGAGATATCTGTCATGAAATGCATTTGGTGATCTGATTTCTGTTGTGTAGATTCCATATCGTGATGTGAGACTACATATACGTTTGAGATAGTGATCAAGAAGTTGTCTTTCAATTTTTACATCGGGAAATTCTCTTGTGCACGGATTTTCTCCCTTTTCGAAAAATTTTGCGATTAAGTTTTGACAAAATTGTATCAGCCCTCGAGCTTCAATTAATAGATATATTAAAAATGGAAAAACTGAATTTTTTGGGTTATCTTCATTTCGAATCATTTTTGTGTTGTATTACTGTTAATGTGTAATTTTCAATGTGTCTTTTTGGTTGAATCTAATTGTACAAACGTATTGGTTTGTTTGTGTAGCTATTTTTTATTTTACGTTTACCTTTTATTGATGCTGGTGACGTGGTTTCTGAATCAGTGAAATATAGTTCATCGTCAATTTGATGGTTTTTGTTTATTGAGTCTTTTATATTGTGAAGCTCTTGTTTTGCGGTTGTTTCTGATTCTGAGACTGCGTTTCTTTGTTTTGAAAATCTTTTTCTAATAATCTGTTTTTGTTTGTTAAATATTTTCATTTTTAGTGTTTGTCTTTTGTTCTTATGTATCCTACTAATTGTCTGTGTGGTGTTTTTACGAGGTTGTATTTGTCGTCGCTGATCAAATAAATGTGTATTATTATTGTTTGTTTGTTTCCTAAATTGTCTCTTGACATAAGGTTTATGATGATGGGTGCAAAATCTGGATTAGTGATTCTAATGTCTTAAACTGTTAGTTCTTACAATTTTTTTGTGGTTAGCTTAACTTGGGTCGTATTGTTGGGATGGAGAGAAAAGCGTTTATCGATTCCTGAGAATAATTTGTACTTTCTCGTGACTAATTCCAAGCTAAGATAGAGCTACCTAATCTTACTTAGGGGCTGTGGTTTGTGATCAAGGGCTGGAGTATAATTAGAACGCAAGTAGTTCGTTAGATACTCTTTTATGACTTACTAAGTTTCAGTATTCTAGCCTGGATCATCTAAGAGGAGGGGGATCAAGTGAATGATGAGTAACCGAAGTTCTTAACTGTTAATCTTAATTAAAATGCTTAGTTTTTTGAAAAACTTCTGTTAATTCTGGGTCGTTGATAAGGGTTGGGTAATGAATCGACGTTTGAGGTCGTTAGACACTAATTAAATTGGGAGGGGGAGAACAAAATTGTTCTATTTGATCCAAGGATAGGCCTTGATGATCAGAGATTTAGAAAATTTAAAATTTAGCTATAGTTTAATTTAAAGATCCAAGGAAAGCCTTGATGATCTGTTATTTAAATGAAGTTAACTTAAGTGAAAGCAAGGATAAGCCATGATAGTTTAAAAATAAAGGATTAAGGTTTAAGTTTTAGTTTTGATGATTGTCAGTTTTTTGAAATTCGCTGTTATATTTTAGATGATGAAGCTGGGATGATGTGATGATTTATATATACTAATGATGTATGAAATATACTAACGAATTTTTGTATTTTTATTATCAATAAATACTTTTTCAAGATGTTCTTCAATTTACAGCTGATTTAAGGAAAACGACAAGTGTTGTTTTTATCAGTCGTTATTGAATAATTATTAGGTTTAGCGCCATGAAAAGTTATTGAAGATGATTCTTCAAAAAAAAATTTTGTCAGTAAAAGAAAAGTTGAATTTACTGCTGGTAATATTCTAAATACAAAAATTTGATCTCGTTTTTGTCGTACTATCATGAAATCAGTTTCTTCCTAAATTAGTTTTCTTCCTAATCGTATGTCGTCTCTTGTTTGACGTCTTCTTCAAATACTGGGTAGTTCTCGTATTGTTCGGAATATTGGATCAGATTTATTGAGGCGTAGAGACATATCTACTAAGTTTTTGTCATATTACATTTTTGAAATGTTCTATTTGTCTAATTCTAATCTAATTTTTGTCTAACTCTAGGTTAGTTAAGGTCTGTTTGAGACTTTTGGTCGCACCAGATGAGTTATGAATGGATTACTATACTCATAGAGTAATTTCAGATAAGGTACGCCGTCTGCTCGTCACGCTGCATCTTATTTTTGGCCGGATAGATTCGTGCAACTTCTTAGTCCAATATCAATCTTAATCTTACTCTTATATCTCCTAGTCTCAAAAGATCTAGTGTACACCAGTTTGCGCGAGTTAGTTCTAGAAAAAGAAAAACTGTATTCTAAGTTAATTTTGAATTGTTCTGGTGTTGAAACTACAAGTAGTTTCAATACTTTACAACTAAATAGGTTGTTAGTTTGATGGAGTATGATTGGTTAGTATTTAATACTTTATAGAGATAAAATATCATATTTTTAACCAATGATAAATACTAGTTTAGATCTGGTTCCATTAAGCTGACGTCGTAGTGAAAAATCTGCAAATTTCAAACTTCTTTTTTTTTGGTTTTTTCCAGTAAGACTGCATGCCTCCCAAGATGTGAACGGGTCAATTAAGTTCAGTTTTACCGAAGATTGTGGGATCCAACATTCATGGTTTCTGGTCCGCGGGATCAAATTATTTGTTTCACAAATTTTTGTTCAGTTCAAAACTTTAATCTAAAAACTGGTTGAAAAACTTGCCTTGATGCCTATTTTGTTTTATAGTATAAAATTTCTACCACTGGCGTAGTGGCACGCGCGTTTAGTACCTATAACCAGTATGAAATTCCATGTGAACAATCTGTGCCTCAGAATTGTGTTTCTACTTGCAATTTCCGAGAAATTAACATGAATTTTACGAAAGGAGTCAAATTCTGCTTGTTTGGTTGAAAAAGCACTCCTCTGCTAGGAAATTTTGTATTCGTTTTTGACTTTTATAGTTATGGCGTTTGCGTCGCTAAGATGTGAACGTGTTGGTTATAATCTGATAATCTGAATATAAAATTAATATCAATAGAGAACTAAAGTCTTCCAATTTTTTTACTAAGACTAAAAGTGTGATTTAATTCAAAATCTCGCACAGCGCCGCACGTACAGGTAAAATTAATTTTGAACAACATAATGAGAAAGCCATTCTTGGTTTTTGTCGCGTTAATTGAAAATCGGATTTGGTTATTTAAATTTCTCGTACCTAACTGTATTCTTCAAAGTTCGAACGCGAAACCTATGAAATTTTAAATGACCTGTTTATTCGTGTTAAAAATTAAAATCGACAACAGCAAAGATAACTAGTTTTCAAAAGTGTGTTTAAAAATTATTGGCAAAAAAAAACAAGTAAGTCAGTCAATCAAAAAGTAGAATTATTATTGATGACTAAATACTACGCGTTACGCTCTGAACAACGAGCGTTTTTGTTTGATTCAGTTATAACAACAGGTTTTCATTCTTTGCAACAAAATACATACTTCAACGTAAACTCATGGTTAATTGAGAATAAATTAAAACTTAGTTATAGAAGACGTAATTATGATGCTGTTTGATTATTTCCAGTCCATCATCCATTTATGGCTTTTTTCCAGTCCAGCTCCCCCATCATCTATCCCCGAGAAACCTGTTAACCCTGTGAGTTTTGCATTCTTACGACCATTAAACATGGGTAGGAACTTTGTATTCGGGTGTTTAAGTTTTTATCTTTTTTTTTTTTTTTCAGCGCAACATCAGGTATCACAAATACTCAACGAAATGGGTCGAATGATGTTTAAAAAAAACCCTTTCAATCGTGATTCGAACGCAATTAAACATGTTGCAAAAAATTGTCGCGGTGTTGAGAAAAGCCGGTTTGATCTTTGAATGTTAGACAAATTTCAAGGAACTAAGCGATCAAGTAAAGTGATGATTGCGTTTTTGAAATTGTTCATTTTGCCAAAAAACTTGTTTTTTTTTTTAAATTTAACAATACTTATGGATACAACATTTAGCTCTTTCTTGTCATTTTTTTGCATTTTAATTTTTCTTTTTTGATTGCTGTTCTTTTCTTTGAGACCACTACTGTCAATAAAGCCTAATTTTATTTTATTTGACGCGTGCGTATAGTTCTTTCATCGCACCACGGACAAGAAACGAAACTAATTTATTGGTAGTTTTCTTATGATTATGGTAAGAGCATCCTGTGTGCAATCCTTGTACGTTGTTGCGTCATTTTTTCTATCCTTTTATATTTGCAAAAGGGGAAGATTTGTAAGTAGATTCTCAAAATGATGATATGCTTTGCCGTTGAATTGTTTTTTTAAAGAGGGGAAAACCGTAAGTATGAACCATAAGGGAGCGGATACTGCAGTCCATTTGCACTTTGTTTTTTTTTTCAGCATATTCTTTTTTATTTAAAAGCTAATTTTACCGCAAAAAGTTCACAAATCGCTGTAAAGTGTTTGCAAAAAAAAATTTGCATCGTTTTTTCATATTTTAGTTGTTTTGTCATATCAATGCTTTTTGGACATCTCGGATTTTTTTTTTGGGGGGGGGGTGTAGAAGATATCTAAATTGTTTTTTTTTTAATTTTCTTCTTTACATGCGGGTTTCATTGAGCAAGGTGACTGAAAGTGAAATGGCGAAAAGAAACAAACACAAGAAAACATAAAAAGCCTAGGATAGAAAGTACAAGCTAGATTGTCCGCAAAAAGAAATTGAAATTTTTTGTAACAAATTGTGAACCGTGAAATAGACATTTTAAAATATGTAGCAGTTTAAAAAATTGATATTGTTTTAAAATAATATTCTATATTGTATTTTACTTAAAGTATGGGTTAAAATTGTTATTTACCTGCTTTTGAAGAATGTGACGAAAAATGTGTGCTCGCGTTGATTTTTGTTCTCGGAGCCCTTTCGACTTTTCAACTAGCCATTTGTGATCGTAATTTTCATGCAAACTGATAGCCAGTAGTGTCATTAACTTAATTTTAGAAAAAATGTTTTACCTGTGTTTTAACCCGCTCATACATAGTTCCAAAAAGAATTGAGGCAAAACAGCTCGTGCTATTAATACATTATAGGACCCTACAATTGGAAAAATTCGGATGTCGAGTGTATTTGTTGAGCACTCAAAAACTGAGTACACAAGTTTGAATCTCCATCTAACTGACGAAAATTTTTCCTTTTTATTTAATTACCTAACATATGTTGATTTTTGTTTGAAATGAAACATTCATATCTCCCAGTTTAAAAAATACAAGAGCTTGCGGTTTTCACTAGTATCATTTATTTACTCATTTGTTTCGATAGAAAAACTTCGCGGCTGCTCACCAGGATTGCAAAATTTTGGCCCTTTTCTTCACTTAAATGATTTTATAACCTTTCTTATTTATCTATCTCCTTCTCTCTACTGCCAATAACTGTGTCTATACCAGTAAGTGATAGTGAAATGTTAATAGAAGTGAGCAATATACCAGAGGGGCCAGTTTTAGTCCCAGATAAGGCAGGTAAGATTTTTTACATTTTTAATTTTGACTGATTTGAAGTCAAATCTGTTACATAAAACTTTCTAGGATATTTTTCTCAAAGGTTTGTAAATGCACAGACATATTAGACTGTTTCGCGTCCCCGCAGGGGCTTGAGCGGAAGAGACCTACAGAAAACATTTGATGGTGCCTCGTGCCATGACTAGCTCATTTAGTTACCATTGTCATTTTTTAAGCTTTACCGTGAACTTTTGATTTTTGTTTTGCCGTATCTAGTCTGCATAAAACTTTTATAACAAATAAAATGATGTGTTGGATTTAATTTTCAGAGCCACCGTTTGTCAAGAAATTAGAATACTACACTACACGTACACGTAAAAACGCACCATTTTGAGAGTGCCTAGAAAAAGTTGACTAGCATTGTAATCGATGGATGTTAAACATTGGGGGACGATATTTTTTCTAGCTTCTTGGATATTCAGCACCTTTAGTCTTTTGGTTAAGTCTGGAACTCGTGTTTGTGCGAAGTTTTCCGTTTCCTATTTTACTAAGCGCTCATTGCTGGTTGAATGCTTAGTAGTTTTATCCTAAATTATAAGTCTCACCTTAGATCGTCAAATTGTCTTGACAAAGAGTAGAGTAGAAACAATAGTTAGAAAAGGTATGAATTAATTAGTTGGTTAGATACAAAGCACTGGGTTATTAGGTTATATAAAAGAATCGAACAGCTTAAAGAATTATACCTATGAGGGGAGGTTGAGCTAATCTTATTTTGTTCATCAATATTTTATCTTCTCACTAAGTTCGGTGGCTGATAAGTATGTATGGTTGCCCTTGATTTTGTCCAAGTCAGCACTTCTGGTTGGGTCGTCTGAATCGTCTTGCCGTAGTCCTTTGAGTACTTGTAGTCCGGACTTCCTCGGGTGTGCGTATCTCGAGTATCTCGATTTATAATTTTTCAAACCTAAAATAAGAATTTATTCTCTTTTTATAAGTGGAAAGGGCTAGACTAATTTTAGTGTTAGGGCAGAAAAGAAAAAATATTTATTTTTAAAAAATCTGACTGAAGAGAACTGACTCGCTGCTTACTGAGCAAAATGAAACACTGAAGATTTCAGGCCAGTCCTTTTGCTCGTAAGCATATACCGGCGGCTGATTCAATCTTTAATTATTCAGGTTTCACTGCTCCTTTGTTCTCCCTTTCTTATAAGGGAATTTTCAACTAGTTTTTATTTGATTTTTTCAAATCAAATATCTTCAACTTATTAGTCCTCTTTGAACAAAACCGCAGCCTTCAGTTTTTCTGATTAAAAATTCGTATTACTTTCTCTGATGCATCATATTGCAGGTGCATCTATGCTAAATCAAAGCAAGGAGAATTTTAGTGCAGCCGGCAAGACTGCTAAAAATTTATCCAGTTTGTTTCAAGTTAAGTTAAAAGGAATGTATTAATAATCGCCGCCCTTTTAAAATATTGAGCATGAAAAAATGAGAAAAATTGGACAAGTATTTAAAAAGGAGTGGATTTTCAAAACAAGATTTTATAGTCCTAACAAGAATAAATCAGTCAATATCTGATTTAGTGAAAAGAGGCTTTAATTTAAATGGCACGCTCCAATTTAGAATTGGGTCGCTAAATAAACAATTAAGACAATGGTCTTTTGTGTGTGTAGTATTTCGCAATACTACAACTCACCTTTTTTTTAGAAAATTAAGCTGTTCGATTCTTACAGTTACTATGGTGAAAATTTAAACACTTTAATGGTTAAATACTATAGTTATTAAATTTAAAGAGAACATCAAATGAAAAAGTTATAAAGATAAGTTAGGTTTTATCTAGAGCTTCCTTCCGGCTTCTAGCTCCATGTTGTATGATCTGAGGATCGCTATCTTCCTCTGTGAAGCCTCGAGTTTTTGTTGCAGTTTTACTATTTTCTTCTTTTTGATTTTGTTCTTGATTCGTAGTCTGCTCATTCCGTCCGTCAGTTCTTGAATGTCGTCCTAATGTTCCTGTCTGTTTTTTACATGGTTCGGAAAAGCAGTTATTCCCTCAAACGGGATGGTGACTTGCGTGCCTCCTGCCTTGAGGATGTAGCCGTGTTCCTCCCTCTTCTTTAATTTCCAGAAGTTGGTTTCGTTCTTTATAACAACTTCTGGCTGGGTTATGAAATCGATAGGCATCATCGCCTTTTCCATTGTCATTGAGTTGACGACTTCAATGAACGATGGCAGTTTCTATCTGTTATAATTTTCCTTTAATGAGTACTTTAAACTCGTTATATATTTTGGATTTTCCGTATCCAATTTGGTTTCTCTGCACTTCTGCAGTTCCATCTTTGGGTTAAACTGGGAAAATTGCGAGGGTTCTTATTTAACCCGTCGTCCATTGACAAAGATTGAACTGCTACCGGTTTCCGTTGTTTCTTCCTGAGAGGCAGCTTTCTTTTATATTCCTCTGGTGCAGGGTCTGCATTTTGGCAGTTCCAGTTTAAAATTGGGTCGTATTCCATTTTGCTAAACATCAATATAAAATGACCAAATATTCAAAATCCCGAATTACATTCGGATATTAAGGCTAATTATCAAATGTTTGAACAATGAAGGACAAAGTGTAAAATTGTATATATATAAAAGGTGGAAAATATAATCTTGTGGTTCCATACAAACCCACCACGGAAAACAAATGAAGAAAAACGATCATGGTGTTTTTTAACCACAGGAATAAAGCACTTTACAACACTGAGTTAAGCTCAGATATTAAACTTATGTAGTTAAAGCAAAAAATGGAAATTTGGGCATTAATTAACCCCTAATCTTCAATGTATGTCCAACTGGGGTCATCCACAGGCTTACCATGGGGTCCCCTTTTATAGGTAAAAGGGACTAGAAAAAACCGGGGGGGGGGGTAAATAGTATATAATATAGCATGTGTAAAAGAGATTTTTGTGTTTATTGTTATTTAAAAAGATTTATAAATTGTGAGCGGATTACTGAAGTCTTGAGATCTTACCAAATGTAGGAATGTAGAGGAATCGTATATGGACATCGTAAAGTGTAGAGGATTAATTCCAGGGGTCGGAAAAATCACAAGGGATGTGGCATAAGGGACAAAAATGTGCCGTATTAGGGAGGCATCTTGTACAAATAATGATACCTTGATGGCAATCA